GCCTTTATTGGTCCTTGAAAAAATATTTTTTATTAAAAATCCAAGCCTCTGTTGGTTCTTGACATAATATTTTTTAAAAACTCCACGCCTTTGTTGGTCCTTGAAAATTTTTTTTTTTTAAATTCACGCCATTGTTCGTCCTTGAAAAAATATTTTTTTTTAAAAATCCACGCCTTTGTTGGTCCTTGAAAAAATATTTTTTAAAAAATCCACGTCTCTGTTGGTCCTTGAAAAAATATTATTTAAAAATTTCACGCCTCTGTTGGTCCTTGAAACATGTTCCTTAAAAATCCCCGCATCTATTGGTCCTTGAAAAAACATTTTTAAAAAATCCACACCTCTTTTTGTCCTTAAAAAAATTCTTTAAAAAATCCACGCCTTTATTGGTCCTTGAAAAAATATTTTTTATTAAAAATCCAAGCCTCTGTTGGTTCTTGACATAATATTTTTTAAAAACTCCACGCCTCTGTTGGTATTTAAAAAAATATTTTTTTTTTTAAATCCACGCCTTTTTTGGTCGTTAAAAAAATATTCTCTAAAAAATTTATGCCTCTGTTGGTCCTTGAAATCACAAATCCACGCCTCTATTGGTCCTTGAAAAAATATTCAAATCCACGTTCATTGGTTCATTGGAAGGGGCCCTTTAATAAAAATCTCCTTTATTGGTCCTTGAAAATATATTCTTAAAATTATACAGTAATTCCCCATTCTTATATTGTCCTGAATGAGCAATACAAAATACTATTTTAATATTGGTATTAAACTATCATTCTCTTCTGTCATCATTCGTCGTAGTCGTCCTTTCGTCCTTTTATTTATTGTGGAATTAAGCTGTTGCTTTTGCTCTTTCTTTGTCTCTCTGTCGCTCTCGGTCCCTGGGTAATTTTACAAAATGTTAAATGCATTTGTAATGGCAAAAAAGTGGCTTTCCTTCCTCAAACAGTACGTCTTTTGTCTTGAGAGGTAGTCAGTCAGTCAGCCAGGCAGTCAGCCCAGTCACCTTTGAGCAACGCCCTCATTGTGGCGCTGTCGTCAGCAATTCAGTCAAAAAGAAAACTACAACACGCTGATGAGAGTGCTTGAATAATTATACAATTTTCATTTTAATTTAAGCAAAAGTTCCGTTGTTTTTGTGTGGGTGTGTGTGTGCTGTCACTTTCTTGTTTTTGCTAGTGTTGCTGCTGCTTCCATCTTTTGTTGTTGCTGTTTTTTGTTCATTCATTCCTTGGAGAAATTGCAGACAATTAAGAGCCATGTTATGGAGGCAATGTTGATGGTGGTGGTGGGGGATGGGGTGTGGCAGCGGAAATAGTGCCATAGGTCTTATTATTTTGAATGGCTCTGAAAATGGTTGTAATTTAATAAAAAAACGGGGACGTGTTTTGGTTGCCTGCTCTTGTTAACATAATTGGGTTGAAGTGATTTGTTTTTGTTTCGTCGTCGTTTGCTATTAACAATTTAATGTGATTTGTTGTTGTAGCTCTGAGAGCCAAAATTAAAGGTGATGAAAGGGAATTGTGAATGACAAGGAAAAAGAAATTACATTCAAAAAAAAAAAAAAGAAAAAAAATTGAATGAGAAATTTAAATTTAATAAATTTGTCAAAAGAAATATCAACAGAAACCTGAAAAAATATTATTTCTATGAAAATGATATCTTCAAGAACCAAAAAAATATTTTTTTTTCAAGGACCAACAAATATGGGTTTTTAAGATATTTGTACAAAGACTAAAATAAAATAAGTAATAATAAATAAATAAATAAATATAGACCAAAAAACTTGGACTTGGATTTATTGAGGATAATTTCTTTTTAATACTCAAAAAAATATGGATTTATTTAAGTATTTTTTTCCACGGATCACAAACTGGATTTTTTTTTGAGGAAAATATGGATTTTTAAATAATAATAATATTCAAGGTCCAACAAAGCTGAAATATTAAAAAAAATATTTAAATAAATAAAGAATGAGTTTTGCCTTGTTAAGGAATATTTTAATATTATAATATTTTTTTTGAAACAAACATTTTTTGGTTTTTTATAACAAATATTTTTTTTGAATTACCAACAGGACTACAAATCTCAAGGCCATCCAGATGCGATTTTTTTTTTAAATAATTTTTTTTAAGAAGTATAGCACCCAAACATTTTTAATGAATATTTTTCAAGGATACAGGACACCAGAGCTGATTATTTTTAGGCATTATTTTGTTGAGTTCTCCAAGCGTAGATTTTTATAAGAATATTTTTCAAGAATTAAAACATTGCTTTTTTTAATGATTTGAAGAACTAGCATAACTTCAAAAATGGGTTTAAAAAAGTTTTTAAGACGAATAGGCTCCAAACGTGGATTAAAAGAAAATTAGGATAAAGAAAACATCAAACGTGGACTTTTAATAATATTTTTTAAGGACAAACAGGACTCTAAAATTAGATGTAAAAAAGTTTTAAAGACCAACAGGTCTCCAAAATTGGTTTGAAAAATATTTTTTACCAGCGATTTAAATGCTTTTAAGGGCGATTTAAATGCTTTTAAGGGCCATTAAAACTGAAAAAATGGGATTTAAAAATATTTCTGAGGGACCAACAGGACTCCTATAGTTGATTTAAAAAGTTGTAAAGACCATGAGTATTAAAAAAAATGTTTTTGAAGAGACCAAAGGACTTCAAAATTATATTTAAAAAACATTTCAAGGACCAACAGGACTCAAAACTTGTATTTGAAAAACTTTTTAGGACCAAAACTACTCCAGAATTGGTTTTAAAATAGGAAATTGGTAAAATAATAAGATTTCAAACTCGAAATTTGGATTTTAAAAAGTTTGAAGGATCAACAGGACTCTAATATTGGATTTTTAAAAATATATTTCTAATGAGCTACAGGACTTCAAACTTGAATATTTTTTGAAGGACCCACAGAATTTCTAACGTCGATTTTTAAAAAACATTTTTTTAAGGACAAAAAACGGCTCTAAAATTTGATTCAAAATAGTTTTAAGGACCAACAGGACTTCAAAAGTGGATTTAAAAATATTTTTTAAGGACCAGCAGAAATCCAAAGGTTTCAAAATATTTTTTAAGGGCCAACAGGACTCAAAACTTAGATTTTTAAAAATATTATTTAACGACCAACAGGATTCGAAACGTTGATTTAAACATGTTTTTAAGGATCAAAAGCGTCCGAAAAGTGGATTTAAAAAAATTTTTTAAGCACCAAACGCAGACTGTTAAAACTATTTTTAAGGACCAAGAGGACTCCAAAAGATGATTTAGAAATATTGTTTAGGGACCAAAGGACTTTATTATTTGATTTAAAAAAAATTTTTGAAGGACCAACAGGACTCCAAACCTGGATAATTTTTTTTAATATTTTTTAAGAGACCAGCAGCCCTCCAACTGGTCTCCATACGTGGATTTAAAAATATTTCTTAAAAGGACCTACAGGATTCGACACATGCATTTAAAAAAAAAATAAGGACCAACAGGACTCCAAAAGTTGATTTAGAAATATTTTTTAGAGACCAAAAGTACTTAATATTTGATTTAAAACAATTTTTTGAAGGACCAACAGGACTCCAATCGTATATAATTTTTTATTAAAAAAAGTATTTTTTAAGGGACCAGCAGGCCTCCAACTGGACTTCACTCGTGGATTTAAAAATATTTTTTAAAAGGACCCACAGGACTTGACACATGCATTTAAAATAATTTTTAAGGACCAACAGGACTCCAAACGCAGATTGCTAAAACTATTTTTAAGGACCAAGAGGACTCCAAAAGTTGATTTAGAAATATTTTTTAGGGACAAAAGGGACTTAAATAATTGATTAAAAATTTTTTTTGAAGGACCAACAGGACTCAAAACGTATATAATTTTTTTTAATAAAAAAGTATTTTTTAAGAGACCAGCAGGCCTTTAACTGGACTCCACTCGTGGATTAAAAAATATTTCTTAAAAGGACCTACAGGACTCGACACATGCATTTAAAAATAATTTTTAAGGAACAAGAGGACTCCAAACGCAGATTGTTAAAACAATTTTTAGGACCAACAGGACTCCAAACGTCTATATATTTTTTTATTAAAAAAGAATTTTTTAAGGGACCAGTAGGCTTCCAACTGGACTCCAAACGTGGATTTAAAAATATTTTTTAAAAGGACGTACAGGACTCCAAACGTGGATTTTTAAACGTATTTTTTAAAAAACCGGCAGATCTTCAAATGGGTATTTAAAAACAACTTTTGAAGGACCTAAGGGACTCCAAATGTGGATTTAATAAGAATAAGGGCAACAGATTGATATTATTATATATTTTTAAAATTAGTTTTTGGGATAACCAAAATATTTCTCAAAAAAAAAAAAAAAAAATAACGTTAATAACTTTTAAAATGTTTGTTTTAGGAGCTTTTAGGTAACCAAAATTGGATATTTTTAACAATATAAGACGTTCAGACTAATAACCGAGGACGGGTTTTTAAATATTTTTCAAATATTTTCAGATTGAAATAATATTGATTTTTTTTTCTAAGATATTCCAAGGACTTCAGACCATTAAAAGGACCCAAAGCATTTATGCATTTTTTAAAAATACATTTTTAAAAATACATTTTCAAGGAAATTCAATCCAAACCCATCAAGTCTTTAAAAAAAATTTCAAAGGACATTCTGACCAAAGCCCTGAATTCGATTTTGAGAGCACTTTCAGAACTACAAACAAGAGATTTTTATATATTTTTGAGGATTTTCAAACTAATAATCCCGTTTTTTTAATGATGGATTTTCAACAATGTTTTGATCTTTTGAATATTTTTCAGTAAATAACAATTTTGCTTTTTATGTATTTTTTTTTTGTCTGGTTGCCATGACACCTTCCCTTGCCGAACCTCACAAAATATTGCAAAATTCCTTTTCAAATGGAAACAGTTATTAATTTATCTACCACACTTACTGATGCAAATGTTAACTCCCTCTTTTCATTCTCTTCTTCCCCTCTTTTCAGAAAAACTGAATGTACTGTACGAACGTAACTGGACAATGTTGGTGCACGAACAATTGCGACGATTCGAGGGTACAATAGTGGCTGCCACACGCAATGGTGGCAATGGAGCCGGTAACATGGCAGGTGTAGCATCCTCCTCCTCTTCGCAATCATCATCATCATCGACAGCATTGGGCGGCAGTGTTGGCGGCGGCGGCGGTCTAGCCACAGATATATCATCAGCAGCAACAACATCTGTGAGTCGCTTAGGTGGCAATTATCCAATGGAAAACAATGATTTTACCGCAACGAAATGGTCGTTCAGCGAAGCATTGCTCTACTCCGTAACTGTGATAACAACTATTGGTGCGTAAAAACAGAAATGTGCGAAAAAAAAACCTCGGCAAAAATGCCAGAGAGCGAAAAGCGAACAAAAATAATGCCATAGCTAGCAAACAGCATGCAAAAATTATAATGCATGACGATACATAAACCAAAAACAGAAACAATATTTTTTCCCCGGTGTTCTGCAGCTTTGGCAACAACATTGTGGTTGGGAAAATTTCGCTCTGTCTCTCTTGGGGAAAAATGCAAAACGGAAAATAATAAAATAAAGCTAATTAAATTTTGCATGATTTTAATGAAACAAAAAGTTTTCTCTTCGTCTGTTTGTGGCCAAAGAATTATCAGTTGCAGTCGCAGGATGTTGCTTAGTTACTTTTGAGAGATTATTTTGTTGCAGAAAAAGGACAAGGAATTGGATCCTTTTTTGTTAATGATAATATTGTGGAACACAAATAATAATTAAGGGGAAAATCCAGATGATTGTTAAAAAAATAAGATAGAAAATGAAAACATCGAAGACACCTTAATCGACGTTTTAAAAGTTTGTAACGCAAAGTAACCTAAATAGAGGAGGAGCAAGTTCACACCTCTTTTTTTATTTTTTGGAAATTTTCGAATTAATATTTCTCGAAATTCATGCATTTTAGGTATATAGTGTCTTTGGCAAAATTGCAGCTAAAGATACGGGGAATATTTTGCTGAAATGTGTTAACCCTCAAGCGAGTCAACAAAGGGGTCTTTTTGGTCCTTTTCTTAAAATATGCATAAAAACTCCCTTTAAAAGACAAAGTAGCAAGTCAAAATATTCCACAAAATTATTTGCCATGAATTCTACTATAGGCTCTGCAGAACCTCGAGGGTGTAAATATTATCTAAATGTCATATGATATTTTAGGGTTAAGGCTTTACTTTTTGTGAGTTTGTCCTAAAATCTCCCAAAAATTTTTTTTTTTTTTTTCATTTTGGTGATGTAGAAACAAACACAAAGAATTGAATATTACATTTATAGGATCCTTGTGTAGTTTTTTCTATACGATTTTTGAATTTGGATTAAATATTTGATAGGGAAAATCCAGAAAAAAATTAAAAAAATATATAAATTAAAAACTACGTTTCTTAGTTTTCTGGTCCTTAACAGAATTAAATATCTTGGCCTAATGTTCGTTGGAAAATACTTCTAAGAAATTTTACCTTCAATCCATGAAACTTTTGATATAATCCCAACTTTTTGTTACCTTGCTTCCTCGAAAGAATGTTTTTTTAGAGAAACACAGAATTTGTCCTTTCTTCCTTTGAAAAATATTATTTTTTCCTGCGAAAAATATTTTTGAAAAATATGTCGAAAAATTTGTGAGTTTCTCACAAAAAAAAAAAAAAAAAAAAAAAAAAAAAAAAAAAAAAAAAGAGGTCCAATTTTTTGGTTTCCTATTTTTCTTAGAAAAAAATTTTTAAAAAATGTTTTCATCTTCCTTTTTTTGGAAAACTTATTTCTTTGACATTTCTGCCTTGATATTTTCTTTCAAACAATTTCAAATAATTTTCTGGAATATTTGTGCAAAAATCTCCAACAAAACAAAATTTTAGAAGAATGGCGTAAAGGACAAAAATAATCTCCATCAAATTTTAATATATGTCACCTCGGAAGAGAAATTTCTATTTCCATGGCATATCAAAAAAATATTTGCATCAATGTTCCGAAGAAAAAACAAAAAATATTTTTTAATTTTTTTTTAACCAATTTTTTCTCGGACTTGTTTCGATTTACTGCCTGAAAGTTACATTAAAATTCATTTAAGGTGGAAGCTGCCAAGAGAAGAATTATTCTCCACAAAATTTCAGTATAAATCTCAGAATAAACCATATGTCTAGGGATTATAGTTTCTGAAAAAATTTCATTCGAATTTCTTAAATTGCAAGCGAAAAATACGAATTTACTGCACTTCACGTGTCTATAATTCATGTCTGTGCAAATATCTCCACCAAAGCAGCCTTCTAGAAGAATGTTGCCAAAGACAAAAATATTCTTCCTCAAACTCTGATATGAGTCACAGAGGGAAAGAAATCTGTATTTCCATGGTATATCAAAAAATATTTGCATCAATATTCCGAAGAAAAAAACAAAAAAAAAAATTTTTAATTTTTTCTAACCAATTTTTTCTCGGACTTGTTTCGATTTACTGGCTGAAAGTTACATTAAAATTCATTTAAGGTGGAAGCAGCCAAGATAAGAATTATTCTCCACAAAATTTCACTATAAATCTCAGAATAAACCATATATCTAGAAATTATAGTTTCTGAGAAAATTTCATTCGAACTTCTTAAATTACAAGTGAAAAATACGAGTTTACTGCAATTCATGTGCCTATACTTCATGTCTGTGCAAAAATCTCCAAAAAAGCAGCCTTCTAGAAGAATGACGTCAGAGACAGAAATATTTTTCATTAAATTTCACTTTAAGACACCAAAGAAACGGAATCTCTATTTCCATGATATATCAACAAAAGATGTTTCGAAAAAATCGAAAATATTTTCAATTTTTATTTGATCAATTTTTCCCCTTTTTTCCATTTAATGCCTGAAATTAGCATAAATTCAAATTCATTTTAGGTGGAAGTTGTCAGGAGATAAATTATTGTACACAAAATTTCACTATAAATTTCAGAATAAAACATATTTCTGGGAATAATAGTTTTTGAGAAAATTTCATTCGAATTTCTTAAATTACAAGTGAAAAATATGAGTTTTCTGCACTTCATGTCTGTGCAAATATCTCCACCAAAGCAGCCTTCTAGAAGAATAACGTCCAAGAAAGAAATATTTTTGACCACTATGAGTCACCAAAGAAAAGCAATCTCTATTTCAATGGCATATCAAAACTAGTTATAGAGCAGTAAGTTCGGCCGGGCCGAACTTTGAATACCCTCCGCCATTTGGAACTTATTTGGAAATTTTCAAAAAATAAAATCCTTAAAAAATTCTATTAAAATTTTAAAAATACCGAATATAGCCGTTATTCAAATTCGAAACTTGAAATAAACGGTGAATAATATAGCTAAAATCATCAAAATATCGTATATAGGGAGGTACCGTTATATCGGAGCTATGCGAAGACCTGTCACAAGCTATAGCATCCCTTACTAAAGTCAAATACGATATCTCAAACAATTTCGGTGGGTATTGTACCTAAATTCGTCAAAATACGGAATATAGGGAGGTACTGATATATCTGGTCTATACGAAGACCTGGAGCTGCATAGGCAATTTTCTGTCACAGACTGTAGTTCCTAATACGTAATTTGAAACAATTCCGGTGAATAATGACGTTAAAATCATCAAAATACCGAATATCGGGAGGTACCGTTATATGGGGGCTATACGAAGACGTGGACCTGCACCGACAAATTTCTGCCTTATGCTGTAGTATGCATTTCGAACTTCAAATACCAAAGTTGAAACAATTCCGTTGAATAATGACGCTAAAATCATCAAAATACCGAATATCGGGAGGTATCGTTATATGGGGGCTATACGAAGACGTAGACCTGCACAGACAATTTTCTGTCATAGGCTCTAGCATCTGTTACGAACTTCAAATACCAAATTTGAAACAATTCCGGTGAACCATACCGATAAAATCATCAAAATACCGAATATTGGGAGGTACCGTTATATGGGAGCCATACGAAGACGTGGACCAGCAATCACAATTTTCTGTCACAGGCTGTAGTTCCCACTACGAACTATAAATACGTAATTTGAAACAATTCCGCAAAAATCATCAACATACCGAATTTTGGGAGGTATCGTTATATGGGGGCTATACAAAGACGTAGACCTACATGGCCCATTTACGAACTTAACCTGCCTACTGGAAAAATAAACACGTGTGGAAAATGTTAGCCTTCTATCTCAATTCGTTCGGAAGATAGCGTGATTACAACAGACAGACAGACGGACATGGCTAAATCGACTTAGAATTTTACGCTGATCAAGAATATACATACTTTGTTGGGTCAAACATGAGTATTTCGAGGAGTTACAAACGGAATGACAAAGTTAATATACCCTCCATAGTATGGTGGAGGGTATAAAAATATTTCCTACAATATTCCGAAAAAATACCGAGAAAAAAACACATTTTTTCAGACCAATATTTTCTCGGAATTTTTTCGATCGGACGCCTGAAAAAAAAAACATTAAATTTCATTCTAAGTAGAAGCTATCCAGATGTGGAATATTCTACACAAAATTGGTCACCTTCGGCACTAATTATGGCCTTCAAATTATGGCCTTCAAACCGCCAATGAAACCGTCACACGATGCCCGAATGTTGCTTTACGATATTTCTGCTCATTCCTTCTGGAGGTGATCGACACTTTGATATTTTTTTCCAAAATACTCCAGACACAACAGGTCCAACGGATTGGTATCCGGAGATTTTGGTGGTCATTGTGCGCTGGAAATGAAGTGAGGATCCTCATTTTGTAACCATTCTTGGGTGGCGGTGGCGTGCTGAGTGCGATGGTGCAGAGTCCTGTTGGAATGTCCAAGGTCTGCCTTGGACAAAATATTTGCGTGCCCAAGGCTTTAATATACCCTCCACAATTTTTTCGCGATAATATGCGGCATTTATTCCGAATGAATTTTTTCTTGTTAAGAAAAAATTTGTCATCGAAAAAAAAAAAAAACAGTAAAGAGAGTCTTAAAGTCGGACGTGGCCGACTTTATGATACCCTACACCACTTTGCTAATTTAGTAGAGCTCCACATAACAATTAAAAGTTGTTATGGCAGAATTCAATCATACCCGCTAAGATTACAATTATAATTTAAAGTTCAAAGAACTAAAGATGCCGAAGCATTTGTATTTTTTAAATTCGGAAATATCGTGCCCATTTAGTGCACAATTAATATGAAATCGGATAAAAATATATATTGGAGCTATATCCAAATCTGAAGCGATCTCGATAAAAATTAGCAAAGGTATTTCAGAGCTGTATTTGGTAAATTTCCCTGAATATCGTTGTTACGGAGTGCATATTACGGCTGCGGAGGACAAAAATAGCAAATCGGATGAACAATATATATGGGAGCTATAGCTATATCTGAACCGATTTCGATCAAATTTGGCATACTTATTTTCAGGCCTAATGTGGTTGTATGTGCAAAATTCCATACTATTCGGGCTGATATTATACGTTTGGTGCACAATAAAAGGCAAATCGGACGAAGATATATATATGGGAGCTATGTCTAAATTTTGACCGATTATCTCCAATTTCAATAAGGTTCGTCCTTGGGCCAAACAAATGTTGTTTGGAAAATTTCATCTCAATCGGATAATAAATGCGACCTGCATTTTGTTCACAAGAATACATGGACAGACGGACGGACGGATAGACGGACGGACATGCATAAATCGATTCAGAAAATGATTTTATGGAGATCCTCAAAAGTAACTATGGGTCTATCTCGCTTCCTTCTCCGTGTTACATACAAAGACATAATACCCTTACCACTTGTGGTGTAGGGTATAAACATAAAGTTCGGCCGGGCCAAACTTTTAGGGAAAAGGAAACATTAGAGCCATCATTATGACCCACAAATACAAATTTTTATACATATTTATGGGAAAATGTGCCAAGAATCATCAAAATACCAAATATCGGGAGGTACCGTTATTTGGGGACTATACCAAATGGTGAACCTATGCATGCGATCTTTCGCCACCGGAGCTTTAACCCATTGTGGCCAACAAATACCAATTTTTAGACAAATCAGTGAAAAAATGTGGCAGAAACCATCAAAATGCCGAATATCGGGAGGTACCTTTATATGGGCTCTATACCAAAGCCTGGACCTATACATACAATGACTCGTCACACGAACCCGTTAAGACCCATTATAACCTATAGATACCAAATTTCAGACAAATCCGTGAAAAATGTGGCAAAAATCGTCAAAATACCGAATATCGGGAGGTACCGTTATATGAGGACTATACCAAAACGTAGACCGATATATCTCATTTTCAATACTAACCATCCTAGACACAATACAAGTTGCTCTGCTAAATTTTGGCGCTCTACGTCATATAATGTGGGCTATATCGTGATTTCAACAGACAGACAGATTAAGAATTGTATGCTGATTATGTATATATATACTTTATGGGGTCTACGACAAATATTTAAGGGTGTTACAAACGGACTGACAAAGTTAATATACCCTCCTTTCCAAGGTGGAGGGTAAAAAAAGGCCAACAATTTGTTGTAGCCCAGTGTAATACAAAGTTTAGAAATATCCTATTTCCCTATTTTTTTTAAACGTTTAAGGAGACCTCCCCTAGGCCATGTATTTCTTTTTACGTCACTCATCTAACCTTCTTGGCCTTTTGATACCTTTCCGCTTTCATCTCCAACAATTATTTGCGCTCCTTGGAAGCAGCAGTTTTCCTTCGTCTTCTTTTTATAATTTTCGATTAAAATCTCAATGTTATTTATCCATGGCCTGTAACTGTTATCCCTGGTAGCTTTGGTAAACAAGAAAACCGAATAGCTGGTTGGCTGGTAGATAAAATAAAATATTTATATTTGTTGTTGTTGCTGTTATTGTGCCCTGAAGCCATAAAACTAAAACGTTTCATTTTGTTTGTTGTCATCTTTTTTTCTCTTCCTCTCTCCCTCTCTCTCTCTCCCTCTTCTTCCGACATCGGTTTGATGTGACGACTACCCGACGACAACAGGTCATGGCAGTCTAACACCGCGCACCACAGGCGGCAAGATTGCAACGATATTTTATGCCCTAATTGGGGTGCCACTAATGCTGATGTGTCTATCGAGTCTGGGTGGCATCCTGGCCGAGGCTCTGCAGTGTACCTATGCTCGGCTGTGTTGCCGAGGGCCACAATATGTTCATGATAATGCTGGTCATCGAAGACATCGTCAAGGTGGTGGGGGTGGCGGTGGAGGAGATGGTGGCGACGACAGCGATGCGGACGCCGATGTTGATGACCACAATGCAAATGATGGATGTGGCCAAAAGTCGCAACACAAACAGGATCATTGTTTGTCGGAGAAGGACGCGAGTTATGCTGCCCTCAGGGAACATCATCAATGCGAATTTGAGAGCAGTCATAAACATGGGGTAAGTTGGAGAATTTTTTAAAATTTCATTTTTATGGAGTTTTTTTTATTTGTCGTTAAAAAGTCCTTTTTTAATTTTTATGATATCCTTTGTGGGAAGAACCCAAACTTCCTTTCGAAATGTTGAAAAATTTTTAGCAAAGTAAATAAAATTTTAGGTTTCTGGAGGGCAGGAAGCTCCATTCATTTAATTTTTGGAGATTTTTTAGTTGTAATTAGAAAATCCTTTTTTAATTTTTATGATATCTCTATCTTCTTTAGGAAAATTTTCACAAGCTTCCATCAAATTTAAAAAAAATGTTAGATTTCTGCAAGGCAGGAAGCTCCTTTCATCTCATTGTTGGAGTTCTTTTATTTATAATTAAAAAGTCCTTTTTTAATTTTCATGATGTCCTTTTTGGGAAGAACTCAATCTTCTTTTGAAAAATTTTCAAAAACTGAAATAAAATTAAAAAAAAATTAGATTTCTGGAAGGCAGGAAGCAATAGACTTTCTTGAGTGCCAGAATCATCCGTTTGACCAAGAGAAGTTGGCAAAAAATTAGGAAAATTGCCCCAATTTTTCCTGAGGCTAAAAAAATCTTTTGGATCCTTTAATCATCTTTCATCGTCTTTTAAATATTTTTTACCCCAATTTTCCCTGAGGCTACAAAAAATATTTTGGATTCTTTAATCATCTTTCGTCGTCTTAAAAAAAAAACTTTCCTCCAAGTTATTTTTTAATAAAATTGACTCATTTTATAATCTTTAAAGAGTTATAGACTCTTATCCCACATAACCCCCATTAAATTCACACTCTCTCACACACACACATATATATACACATATGAATCCATATATGTACACATCATCAAAAGGACATCCATATACAATACACACATACATTTCTTTATAATATCCCTAAGCCATAGAGCCGTTGTTGTTTTAATGTCGAGCAATTTGTTTGGCACTGGAGGCGATACTTTGAAGAGTATCGGGTGTCTGTGTTTATTTTGTGGAAAAAATGGGGCTAGTATGGGGTGGGGGGTGGTGAGAGGCATGGATTAGTTTTCCTTTCCGTAAATATTTTCTTTTGTAGATATCAAAATATTCATGGTTAATATTTTCTTATTAAAGTTTTTTTTTTTTTGATGTTGGTGATGTTGAAACAAACAAAAAGGATTGGATATTAAATTTATAGAGTCCTTGTGGAGTTTTTTTTATATGATCTTGAATTTAAATATTTAATTTAAATATAGAAAAAACAGAAAAAAAGATTTTTGGGAGATTTAATATTTAACATTGAAAAATTACATTTCTTATCCTTCAGGTCCTTATAAAAGTTATATTTATTTGCCTATTATTCATTGTAAAATGCTTCTAAGAAATTTATCTTCAATCCATGAAACTTTTGATACAATCCCACCTTTTTGGTACCTTTTTTCCCGAAAAAATGTTTTTGGAGAAACATAGAATTTGTCCTTTCTTCCTTCGAAAAATATTTTTTTTAGCTTGTCTTTTTTCCTGCGAAAAATATTTTTGAAAAATTCAGCTTTCTTTGTGGGTTTTTCCAAAAAAAAAAAAATAAATAAATAAATAAAAAAATAAAAATTAAAAAATTGTTTATTTCCCATATTTGTCGCAGAAAACAACTTTTTAAAAAATGTCTTATTTTGCCTTTGGCTTTAATTTTTTTTCTTGGATATCTTATTTCTGCTTCTTTTCTGCCTTGATCTTTTCCATATAATTTTTATCGAAAAATTTTCTTAAATAATATTTTAAATATTTCCTAGTCATTTTATGCGTCAAAATATTCGAACAGTTGTATTTAATTACATTTCTATTTTTCTTAAAAAGTATTTTTTATAAAAATGAACATTTCAATGGCTTTGAAATAAAATTGTTAAAAAAATGTATAAATGCATAAAAACAATCTAAGAAAAATATATGGGATGGAATATTTTATAAAAATCAAAGTTTCCTGGTCTGAGGACCTTAAAAAAGTTAAAATATTCAATTTTTTCGGACAATCCTTAAGAAAAACATTCTTTAAAAAATCCTTGTAAGTTCTACAAATAATAATAAAGTCCTACAAACTAGAAAGCATTCTTAGCAAAATCCTATTGACTCTTGAAAAATTATTCTTTAAGAACTTGATTTGTGACTTATGGTAATTCAAGAAAATTCGTTTGAAAGGCATGTTAGCCTTTTAGTCCTCCAAAAAAAATTCTTTAAAAAATCCACGTTTTCTAGTCCTTTTGGTCTTCCAAAAAAAATTCTTTAAAAAATCCACGTTTTCTAGTCCTTTTGGTCTTCCAAAAAAAATTCTTTAAAAAATCCACGTTTTCTAGTCCATTTGGTCCTCCAAACAAAATTCATTAAAAAATCCACGTTTTCTAGTCCTTTTGGTCCCCCAAAAAATTCTTTAAAAAATCCACATTTTCTAGTCCTTTTGGTCCCCCCAAAAAATTCTTTTTAAATCCACGTTTCTGAGTCTTTTGGTCCTCCAGAAAAATTCTTTAAAAAATCCACGTTTGTGGGTCTTTCGGTCCTCCAGAAAAGTTGTTCAAAAATTCTACTTCTGTTGGTCCTTCAAACAAAATTCTTTAAAAATTCACGTTTGTGGGTCTTTGGGTCCCTGAGAAAAAATCTTTAAAAATATCTACGTTTGTGGTTTTTTTTGTCTTTGGGTCCCTGAGAAACATTATTTAAAAAATCCACGTTTGTGGGTCTTTTGGTCCTCTAGAAAAATTCTTTAAAAAATCCACGTTCGTGGGTCCTTTGGTCCTCCAGAAAAATGCTTTAAAAAATCCCCGTTTGTCGGTCTTTTGGTCCTCCAAAAAGTATTCTTTAAATAATCCACGTTTGTGGGGCTTTTCGTCCTCCAGAAAAATTCTTTTGAAAAATCCCAGACCCACAAACGTGTCTTTTGGTTTTAAAGATTTTTTTTCAAAAATCCACGTCTGTTGGTCTCTTTGTACTCCAGAAAAATTCTTTATAAAATCCACGTTTGTGGGTCTTTTAGTCCCCCAAAAAATTCTTTAAAAATAAAAGTGGGTCTTTAGTCCCCCAAAAAAATTCTTTTAAAATCCACATTTGTGGGTCTTTTGGTCCTCCAGAAAAATTCTTTAAAAAATCCAAGTTTGTGAGTCCTTTGGTTCTCCAGAAATTTTTTTTTGAAAAATCCACGTTTGTAGGTATTTTGATCCTTAGGAAAAATTCTTTAAAAATCAACTGTTCCTGGTCTGTTTGACCTGGAAAAAATGATTTAAAATCGATTTTTCTTGGAATATTTGTCATGTCCTTAAAATTCACGTTTTCTGGTATTTTAGTCCTCAAAAAAAAAAAAAAAAAATTAAAAATCCAAGTTTATGGGTCTTTTAGTCCTTAAAAAATCTTAAAAAAAATACAAACACTGTTTTGATGTTTTTTTTTAAAAAAATGTTTTCAAAAAATAAATTTTCCCTATATGAGGGTCTTAAAAAATATTTTTAAAAACCTTCATTTTCTGAACTAATGGTCCTAGTTTAAAAAGGCTTTAAAAAAATTGGTCTTTATTCCTTGTTTCCTGCTTGATATTCTACAAACTCTCTCATTTCTTGACTTCTAAAAAATCACGTTTTATGTTCCTGGAAAAAAATTAAACAAAATCCGAAATTCCTTGGTCGCTAAAAAAAATATAAAACACTTACATCATTTATTCCTCGAAAAAGTATTTTCAGAAAACCCACATTTGATGGTCCTTAAAGAAAACTATATTTTTCAAAAATACTTTTTGATGCATTGTGTCCTGTTTTGATTTCAAAATATTCACAACATTTTGATTCATTACTCAACGCTTAATTAAGTTGTTGTAACTCTAATAATAGAGCCTTCACAGATTGCGTAGAAAACAAAACTAAGGTTTAACCAATTCATTTACATGTTTTATGTAAATATTACTTTAATTCCAACATGCAATGTTTTTCAATGTTTTTGTAGAAAAAAAAAAAAAAAAAAAAAAAACAACTGAAATCTAAACGGAAATCTGAAAGGAAATAATTTCATAAATCATTTTATGCCAAAAGTCAGCCCATGGCATGTAAATAACTCCCCGACATTTATAATTTTAACAATGGAAAACATGGTGGCTACTGGGTTTTGTGCAATGATTAATTGAGGGAAGAAAATTTGGATTGGAAAATATATTTCACTAATTTTTGGGAAAAATATTAAAAATAGTAAAATATATGTGAAAAATATCGTGAAGAATTGTATTGTATGTGGACGTTTATGGCGGATGATTAATAATAATTTCGTAGGTACATTGTGGCGTATGATTATTACATTTACAAATAAAAACAATCATACCACCGAGGGGACATTTTTTATTACATAATATACATTTTCCAAAACAAACATAATTTTAATTTTTATTTTTTTTTAAATACATATTTTTGAATTATTTAAATTGCCATTCAGTTTTCAAAAAAAAAAAAAAAAAAAAAAAAAATACATTTCCCATAAAAAAATCTTACATTTTTTTAATTCACAACATCTTTAAGACCACTTAAACTTCACTTAATGTTTCCCATTAAAAATTCCCATTTAAAGCAGAAAAAAAACACTTCAACCTGAAGTGTGTCACTTCATTTTTCCTATTCACTTCAAATTATTTTAATATTTTCTCTCTTTTTGAATGTGTGTTTGTATATATTTTGAGATTTCACTTAGCAACTCATTAAAAATTAAGTTTTCCGATTAGAGCTTTCCATATTTTGTTTTCATTTCTAAGAATCCTCTCCCTCTATCTCTCTTAAAAGTGATATAATAATTTCAAGAATTTTTAATAAGAACAACTTAGACTAAACTGACAGCAAAAAAAAAACTAACTATGGTCGGTATGTGGGTGTGTGTTTGTGTTTGTGTTTACCACCTGCCAAGTAAATGAGGATTTTAGTTGCAAAAAACAACATTTATTTGTCGATAATGCAACCAAAGTAAAATACACAGCAAAGTTTTTGAAGAGTTTTCTAGGTAAATT